TCTATATATATCACTTATAATTCTCTTGATCAAATTTTGGTGTTTTTTTTGCGCTGTGCGTGTGTGCGGAACGTGTGAGAATTGAAACAGCATACATACGCATACATTTACACATACACAAATATATATATACATATATAGTAGAACAAATATAATACATAAAAGAGATAAGCAAGTTGCAGTCGGCTGCTACCGACTGCTTAATACCCATTCACAGATGAATCGTAGCTCTAGCTACAAAATATTGGAAAAACATATTTATTGTTCAATTTAGCAAAGTATTGAGTGCATATATTTCAAATTTCAGGCTCCTAGTTCAATGGACGCAATGGACATAGGCAGACGAACAGAGATTGGACAACACAGAGATACTCATTGATCTCATGAATGAGTATTGTATTGAATATAATATATATATACATATTTACACTAATATACATATTTACATTTCTATATACATAAACCTAGGTAGGTATACTACGATTGAGTGCTGTCTTCGCTACCCTTTGGCCATCGCCTGAAGGTATGCAACAATATCTTTTCGGCTTGCGATTCCCTTTGTGTGCGGAAGGAAAAAACGTAAACAAAAGTTGAATTTAAGAAAACAACAAAAATACCAAACGGTAAAAAAATACAAAACAAAACCAAAATAACGGCGAACCGGAAGCAACTTTATTGTCTTCTGTGGGCGTCGTTAAGCAGGGCTTAGAGATAAGCAACGCGACGCAGGCGGCCCACACACTTGCCACGCCCACCCCATCACGTCCATCGACGCCAACTCCACTCAACGAGCGGGCAAACAAACAAACAGCTGAGAAGCCCCATAAATAGGAAATGCCAGCGCACCAAGAGCCGCAGCCAGCGGGGAGTGAGGGGCAGCAAGAGAGAGAGAGAGAGAGAGAGAGTGAGAGAGAAGCCTCTGAAGAAGTTACGGCATCTGCCCCCAAACGCCCACAGCGAACGAACGCTCGGGCAAAGTGTTAACCGAGTTGGCTTCGCCTTCGCAACATTTCGAATCGCAGCTTGGGCAGAGTATTCAAATTTCATAATATTACACAAATTTCACATCAACTTATCCAATTTGCTGTAAAGTTCGGCCAAAGTATTTACTCGAAGCATTTCATGGCTCAAACTTGACGTTCTTCTGGCAAATGCTAATCACTGCTGGTATTTCAACTGCCTGGCAAAGCTCATGTTAGCAATTTAACAAACAGTTGCATATACCGTTCCACTTTGATTTCGTTTTAAGCTTTAGCTACCTGACGAAATTCACATGAGTTGAGCCAGATTTAATTTTATCTCTCTCTCACTCTCTCTCTCTCTCTCGCTCTTTCAAGTCAAGCATGTGACTCATTCCAAAGCACAAACAAATCCCAATTCAATCACAGCCAAAACAAAATACCAAACAAATACCAACTGTAAAAATTCAACTGTTAAAATATTTGATCAGCGAAAAATGCCAACAAAAAATCAACAGCTAAATAGAATACAAAAAATACCGACAATTTTCTAGCTGCGCTATAAAAACTATTGCCAATGGAAACAGCATTTCAGCTTTTGTCGGAGACAGCAAAGCAAGCAAAATGACAACAAAACACGAACAGTCTGGCAATGCCGCGCTAAACAGAAACAATGAAAGTGCCAAAACTGACAAAAATTCATCAAAAATGCAGCAAATGTTGCAACACAACCGAAACTTATGTGTGTGTGTGTGTGTGTGAGAGAGAGAGAGTGTGTGTGTGTGTGTCTGTGAAGGAATATGCTTAAAAGCTTTGACTGTGTAAAGACCTATGTAATATGTTATCCCGACTTTATGTATATTAAAAAAAAAAAAAAAAAAAGAAAAAAAATGGTAAAATATTCTTTCCATTCTTTCCATTCCCTGTAAACCTTCAGTTAACTCAAAATCTAAGCTAGATCTAGCTGCAAATCGTAATACCCATATACAAATAAGCCCCTATATATATCCATATATTCCAGCCTAATTGTTTTAATTTTGCTGAATAAATTACATAATATTTGTCATTTATTTTGTATTCATACTATAATTGAAATACGTTCGTCGCTTTACAACACTGGCCCTATTTTATGGCCCATCCATTCACATGCGACTACAATTATTATAGCAATAGATTTTTGCCGTTCATTCGCCCCGTTGCTCCCCACGCTCGTTCGTAAACTATTTGCATAAAAAAACAATGGCTTTTGACAAATTGTTTGCCAAATTGTTGAATTGAATTGAATTGGAAATTGATTTTGCTCATATTTTCATTAAATATTCCATTGTTTGTACTATGGGAGTTATGAATCGAATGTGAGCAATAACAACAACAACAACAGCAATAAAATGGGGCAAAAAAATGAAAACAAATCAATGAAAATAATAGAAAAAAATGCATTGATTTACGCTGCTCTCTTTTGCTTCATTTGATAGAATATTTGATTCATCGAATGCTATAAAAATATCGATATATATGGCAGGAATTGAGTACAGGCAAGTAGAGCTCTGTAGGCCCCATTTCGATTGGTATTACGATGGGTTCGACTCATATATAATCCATTTACACGCAATACGAGGCTCATTTACATGCAGCACAAGTGCCAATCACAGCTGACCCAAGTACCAATCACACACACACACACAGGGAGAGAGAGAGAGAAGGGTTGAAAATACTTAAGAGAAAAATGTTGTTTTGATCCTTAATCGTGCAATTGGATATGCAATATGAATGAAGATATCTATAACAATTTCCAGCCATAACAACTTATATGAAGAGAGAGAGAGAGACAGAGAGAGAGCGAGAGAGAGAGAGAGATTGTGTGTGTGTGGGTAGAAATAATATTGGAAAATAAAACACTTTACACAAGCTGTAAATACGCAGTGGAGCTAAGCCCAAAGCTGATGTGAATGATGATATAGCCCCGTCCCCTTCGCACTGCCGCTACGGCCACAGCGGGTCAATCGATGATGCGTAAAAGGGCGCCGCAATCACGGCCACAGTGTGACCAGCGTCCAATCCGCAATAAGCGCCCACCCAGCCCCCGTGCCCCATAAACTGGGTTAGAGAGTCACAGTTTCAGTTTCAGTCACAGTTTCAGTTCCAGTTCCAGTTCCCGTTCCCGTTCCCGCTCCCGTTCCCGTTCCCATTTCAATTCCCTTTCCAGTTTCAGTTTCTGTTTCAGTCCTTCAGCCACATCAAAATGCACAACGTGTCGTTATTTATGGCTTTGGGTCGACGTCGTCGCTGAGCTGCTTGGACACCGTTATAGCAACAAACAAGACAAACAGAAAGAGAGGCTGAGAGGCTGAGAGAGAGGGAGAAGCGAAACCCTTTACGTAGCGAGCACACAGCTTGACAAAGCGTAAGCCGAAGGACGCGCAGCAGATCAAATAGGCTCACTGTGCCGCCCTTTGCACACACACACACACACACACGAACACACAAGCACGTGGACCTTGTCATTCACACACACACACACGCACATACACAGTGCTCATTCGCATTGAGCGCCGATTGCAGTTTGGCGGCTTTAATCTGCGAGCTATCAAAGGGGCTTATGCAACTCGGCAACACGCACACACACAGTGAGAGAGGGAGAGGGAGAGAGAGAGTGTGGTCTCCCAGAGAGAGAAAGAGAGATAGGAAGTGAGAGAGAGAGGGAGAGAGAGATAAACGTCAACAACAACAGTTTCTACATACATCGGACAGCTCATCCTAACATGCCCTCCTCCCCCTCCCCTCTTCCCCACAACAGCATGCAATGTGAACGTTTCGTATTTCAACACAATTTGTTGGTAACTTTTGCTCGATTTGTTTTGATTTTCAATTTCATTTTGCTTTTCTGCAATTTGCCTTGTAAGCTGGTTCTTCTTTTGTTACTGTTCGCTGCGTGCTAAGTGAGAGCGGGTATATTGGTTGTGTGCATTGCTGGTGAGAGCACTCTCTCAGCGAGTTGACTGCAGCTGGAGAGAGTTGACTACCTACATATATAATCATGGCCACGCCTATCATCTGAACAACAGTTTGCAATTCATTGCGGTACACAAGCAGTTTGAGAGTCACATCAAGCCACTCACGCAGCTTACAGGGTATTCTGCGATCGACTACACATGCTTACAATGCTCCCACATTTTTTTCAGTACTATGCAAGGACTCTAATTAAATTTTTAATGTACACGTGTATGTGTGTGTTTGTGTGTGTGTGTGTGTTGGGACAGAGCGAAAAGTTTTGCAGCCGCTTTGCTTCAACTTCAAACAAATTCCAAGTAATTGCGCATTGAAATTGGCAGCCGTGTCCAAAGGCAGCTTGGGCAGACCCAAGAGCAAGCGGAGGGTGAATACAGTTAAGCGCGCGTTAACTTTACAATTCATTGCATATGTATGTGGGTGTGTGTGTGTGTGTGTGTGTGGGTGTGTATGCAAAACTTGCACAGAGCCCGCAACTGCGTCTGATGTTTCACTGACTTTTGACGTTACAGATGCCAGCAGCAAAATTTTTTCGACAATTTAATCATTAAAAGTAAAGCGAACAAACAACAACAACTGCGGCTACTGTGAGAGGGAGTGAGAAGGAGAGCACGTAAAAAGCAAAAACAAAATTTCCTGCTTACACATTTTTGTTGTTAGCTCGAGTCGAAAGTTTTTGCATAGCAAGTATAACAACAACAAGAACCAAGAACAGCAACAATAACAACACCCAAGTGTCTCACATATTTGCCCTCTCATT